AAAGAATTCAAAGACAAAGATTGTCGGGAGGTTTATCGATACAAGACGTTATTCGGGGATGTCTTCGACGGTGATAAGTACGCAGTGACTTCGAGCAAGCTTTGCCGCACAGGTTTCGCAATGTTCGAAGACAGTGCTACTGTCGATCACCGTGATGAGATCCCGGTGGATGTGGAGAGTAGTGGCTCCAGTGATGAGGGCATCGAACTGATACCGATTTCAGCAACCATGGATATGTCTGGCTCGCATAGTTGTGATAAACGGAAAGCAGCTAGAGATCGAGGGAAAGGGAAGAAGAAGTATTCAGCGCGAGATGTGTCGTTTTCAGTTGATCGTGCGACTACAGCCAGTGAGAGTTTGGCGTCCAAAATTGACCAGATCATTGGAAAAGCTGTGTCAGACCCGAAGACATGCTTGCATGAGTTATTGTCCACGGGTCTACTACAAGAGGGAACTGATTTTTACTTCTAGACATGCTCATTCCTGAGGGACAAAAAAATAGGGAGATCTTGGACATGCAATCCACTGTGAACCTGAAGTTTGCATGGGTCGAGTGGAGCTGGCAACAGTATAGGCGAGGAGCGCCTCCGTGATGGCTATGTTTATATAACTTGATTGGGTGAGAGTCCTGTTACGGTTTCTCAGTCCTTGTTATCGATGAATAACTTTTCAATAGTTTAATTTTCGGCTCTATTTAGGGAAAAACATTTTCATATGTGCACAATTTTATTGTTTGTATTTGTTTATATGTGTATTGTTTTTATTTGTTTATGTGTACTTTTCTTATACGTGAGTTGAACAAATTGTCAACCGATTTGTACCTTATTATGCGCAGTTACCACCAATATTGTTTGTGCGGATTCCATTATTGTGATGATTTTTAGATTTGTAGTTGTAGCAGGCTTGCAAATCTAAAAATGCCTGTGGTTTTTTGTATTATGTTAGGTAAAATATGTACTTTGGTAGGAAAAAAATATTACCCACTCACAAGTTCATTGTACATGTATTTGTTTTACGTGAATGGAGAGTAGAAAATGTACTTTCCTTTTCACTATAAAGGGCAAGGCAATGGGCATCAAATTTCATTGCCTAAGAAAATCATCGTCTTCTATATTTGCCTTAGAAAGTCTCTTAGCATTCCCTATTTCGAAATATCTGCATCAAACATCCGATGCCTATGACGACATGGACGATGAGGCACTTATGGAAGAGCTATTGGTGGATATGATTGAGTGGTTTCAATATTGTCAAATAAGTGAGGTGAGTGTGGGTAACTACCAGCGTGAACAAAGACTTCGTGTTGCTCGTTATCCGTT